GCTGCCTCCTGCATGCCCCCACCTGGGGATCAAGCCTGCAACTCGGGCATGTACCTTGACTGTGAATCGAACCAGGACCTCTCAGTCCATGGGACTGACACTCAACCCACTGAGCCACATCAGCCAGGCAACAACAAAGAGAATTTATTGCTTCATGTAACTGGAAAGTACAGACCTCTGGGCATGGTTTGTTCAGGACTCTGGCTCCTTTTCTCTGTGAGTCTCTCAGCTCTGCCTTACTCCGTATGTTAGTTTTGTCCTTGCACTGGTTTGTCATTTATGGTAGCAAAATGACGTCCAGCAGCAAGACTACATACTTGCTTTACCTACTGTCATTAAACAGCCAACTTGAACTTGGCTCTGAGTAGATCTCCTTGTCCTTGAACCTCTTATGTGGCAATGGGAGTAATCCTTGGGAGAGGGGTGACTCCTCCCCCCCCGCCCCTTGCCTCAAGTTTAAGTGGATTCTTCTGCAGGGATGTGAAGAGATGCTGATGCCCGCATTAAAGCTGACACAGGGTGAAGTAGATACTCACAGCCACACTGTGCCATTCACATAGTCTTGCATAGAAGCTGCCATTTTATTTATTTATTTATTATTATTTTAATCCTCACCTGAAGATATGTTTCCATTGATTTTTTTAGGTAGAGTGGAAGGGAGGAAGGGAGGGATGAGAGAGAGAAACATCGGTTGGTTGTCTCTTGCATGACCCCGACTGGGCTGGGCATAGAACCAGCAACCCAGGTATGTGCCCTTGACCAGAATCGAACCGGTGACCCTTTAGTTCACAGGCCAACGCTCTAACCGCTGAGTCAAACTGGCCAGGGCAGAAGCTGCCATTTTATTTATTTATTTAAAAATATTTTTTCTTTATTGATTTTAAAGAGAGAAAAGGAGAGAAAGAAACATGGATTGGCTGCCTCCTGCATGCCCCCCACTGGGGATTTGGCCCACAACCCCGGGCATGTGTCCTGACCAGGAACGGTGACCTCTTGGTGCATGGGTCGATGCTCAATCAGTGAGCCACACGGGTTGGGCAGAAGCTGCCATTTTAAAAACAGGGTGACGAGAAGAGGCCTCCACATTTTGCCAACAGATTGGCATTCAGGCTGCGCAGTCGCAGCAGTGTGGCGGCACTGGATGTCCTGCGCAGGGTGGAGAAACGCTTTCCCGTTAGGAACATTACGGATCCATGTGTGAGGGAGCAGTCAGAAGTGGGAAGTGAGGTATGGAGGAGAGTGGTGGGTAGACTTGCCGGAACATTGTCAAGTGGGTAAACATCCCATATGTTCACGTGTACGTGCCTTCCTCCTCCTCAGTGAAGTGTTCTTTCCTACCAGGAAGGCAAAGATTCTTTTCAACTCTTGCTCTCCTGATGGTCTTCCCACTGGAGACCTGAGCTACTCCTGTTGCTCCTCCAGAGGGGCTGCTTCTCCTTTACTATTCAGGCTGGAGGGAGCACCAGACTCTTCCCTAATACCTCGGTCATTAGTCCAAATAGACTGGAGTGCTGAACCGACTGGACTGAGGGCTTAGGAAAAGCAGAGGGGAATTATAACCAAGAGGGGCTTAAAAATAGATACGAAGATATGACTGCTCAAACCGAAAAGATATGGCTGTTCTTGTCCTGGGCTTTCTCAGTGGGTCCCTTGCAAGGCTTCCCATCCAGTGACTGCTGCCCCCTTGTGGCAAACACTCTCTTTCCCTGTAGCCGCAGCTTGACTGGACTACCTACCTGCAGGCGTTTTGCCGCGTAGGCCCCAGACTGTATAGTCTGCTTTCTCCGGCGTCCAGTCACCACTTTCTGCCTCAGGAGCTATCTTTTCCCTGGATGATTAATAGGGGAATGTCCACCCCCTTTAGGGGCTTCTCCATCTTCAATTCCTTTCTATTCTAGGCATCAGATTACAATAGTCCCACTGTAGTAAAAACAAAGCACGGGTAGACCCAGGCAATGGTCTCCTACACATTCTGCTACTATTTAAAAATGACAAGAGAATGCAGGTGGAGACTTAGCTGAAAAAATATGCTTGCCAAGGGCAGAATTGTAGGCACCAGTGATAACTTTGGCATTTACTGGTCAGGGGCATAATTTACACTCAAACAGATTGGCGCTAACTTTAAACAGTAGAGAATGACCGGGAAAGAACAATGCCAGAGAGAGCAGTCTGGCTGTATGGAAGTGAAGCTCTCAGGCACACCTTAGGTATGACTGTGTGCCCACAGTGACAGGCACTCTGAATCCTGGTGGTAATCTACAGTCTATAAATCATAGGCGATGTGTCTGGTGTCATTTTACAGCACAACCATGGGTTTGAGCACTTCTTTGTCCCCTGGCAGAGGATCCGAAGCTGACTCGGAGGGGGTCCCTGCGCTCTAGCAGTCCATGGTCTAGTGGGAAAAGCTGACTGGTAAACACAGTATTGCAGTACAGTAGGGTTCCTGTTATATTGGAGAAGTGATTACAATACCAGAGGTGTAAAGCCCGGGGACAGACATTAACTGCTGGGGGCAGCTGAGGCAGGTTCCCAGCAAAGCCATCCTTCAGTACTGAGAGAGGAGCAGAATGACACGAACCCCACCTCCTCCATTCACTGATTGCCCCAGCTCTGACGGTCCCCCTGTTGTCCAGCCAGACTCCAGCTGGCCCATGCCCCCAGCCCCAGGGCCATTCTAATAAACCAGTTGTTGGCAGTGGTTGTGCAAGGGGTGGCTGGATGTGGAGTGGGGTTAATTCTCCACCAGCCCCCAGGCCACCCCAAAGAAGTTTACAGTATAAGTAAAAATTGTATGCTTTTTGTGCAAACACAGCTTAAGTACAGTCTTTCCCACCAGACTGCCCCAGAATTTCTCCTAGGTGGAGGGCTCCTGGGAGCCTTCCTCCAGTGGACTCCTTCTGAAGTCTCTACTGTAAAAAGTCAAATCCTTCCCCCTTTATTTGCGTCAGGCAAGTGGAAGCTTTCAAAGGAGGTCTGCTAGGGAATGTAAGGAATAAACAAGTGGAAATAAATACTAGAAAAGGAAGAGAATAAAAATAGTCATCCACAGAGTGGAAAATTCAGATAATAACTTTTAACTCCATCTTCATGCCTGGGACCCCTGCTTGGACATATGGACCCTGCGAGTCTCTAACAGGACTGTGACCCCTTGGCTCAGTCTGTTCTCCAAATGTAAGCATGGGCAGGGCTCAAACAGGAGGCGATGATTTGGCTTCCCTATTTCTCTTGGTTCATCAGATTCCCTCTATGAAGCCATTCTGGTCTCTGAGCTTCAGGCTCTTATGGCTGGTGCCTCCGGCAGGAAGCCTCCTCCGGGGGCCAGGACATTCTTTGGGGTGGGGAGACTTAGTTTGACTGTATTTTAGAAAATTCGTCCATTTCTCTGAGACCTGAAGATTTCTGCTCAGTTGGCTTTGCCTCCTCCCTTGTGACCATGTACTCAGTTCTGACCTCATCCAAGGCTGTACTTGGTGACAGGAGTCTACAGCCTTCTTACCTCCTCCTTTCACACTTCTCCCTTTTGCGAGGAAGAGGCTGACATCTTCCCAATTTAGTATTTATTGCTTTGCTCTAAGACTTTGTCTTCTGTGAAACTAGTACTGAAGGAGAAAACACACTAAAATGTGTGGATCTGAATGAAGTTATAGACTTCAACAGAACCCCTGGAAACAACTCAGGAGTTATCTGCTCTGCCTCCTTCAAACTGCAGATTAGAAAATGGAAATCTAGAGAGGTAAAAGGACCCCCTCAAGGTCACACACATTATTAATGGTAGAATCAGGACTGGATTCAAGGTATCCTTATTTCCGATCTTGGTAACTTTCCGAAGGTTTCAGACTGTTCCCTGACTGGTGTTGGGGGTCCAGGGAACCTCCCGAGCAGCTGTCTGGGTAGAGACAGCAGCACACCTTCCCTCCCCAGCAGATGGGGCTTTGGCTATTTTACATATTGGGTTTCTGGTAAGATTTTACTTCAACAAAGTGTTTCACAGTTAAAAAAGATATTTGAAAACTGCTGAATGTTCTGTGGATGTTTAGGAGGTGATTTCAAGGACCAAGATGGGGACATCTCTCAAAAGCTTACGCTTCCTTTAGAAAGAGGACCAAAACATTTATTGCTCCTTTAGACAAAGCTTAAAATACACTTTAATGCTTCATTGTTACCATTTCTTTCCCTCTGTAGATTTTGAGCAGGTTAAACAGAATCAGGAACAACATAAGAAGGGAAATAACACAGAAAGGGATATCCAGGGACAGGTTTGCCTACTTCTATTTTGCTTAACATTAGCCTCTCCTGAATGTCCAAGACCAACCTGGTCCTCCCATTTGAGTGTGAAGACATGCTGAGGACGAAGAAGGCTAAAGAGAGGGCAGTGGTGGAATTATAGGTGGAGTTGAGGCAGTTGTAGGGCTGACCATTGGCTAAGGTTTTTTCCTTATAGTTCACCTCATCCCACACTCAGATCAGGCCCCAGAGTTATGAAAGGTTGACAACACTGCCAGGTGACACTGACCTCCAAGGAAGTCCAAGATGGAGGTGAAGAAAGGGAACTCTGGTTGCCAAACCAACAGAGAAGCAAAAGATATCCCAGTAACTGTTCTCACATTTAAAAAAAAATTAAAAAACTTTTTTTTTTAAATTGACTTTTTAGATAGAGAGGGAGGAAGAGGAGGAGAAAGACAGAAACATCAGTGAGAGAGAAACATCGATCAGCTGCCTCCTGCACGCCCCATACTGGGGATCAAGCTCACAACCTGGGCACATGCCCTGACTGGGAATCAAACCAGCAACCTCTCGGTGCATGGGATGACGCTCCTCCACTGAGCCACACTGGCCAAATGTTCTCACATTCTTGATGAGAGTGGCTTGAGTCTGAATTATAATTCTTTCCTAATCTTTCAACTAGATCAAACCTTGACTTTCTTCATGGAATATACATGGGATGAGTTTGAAAATTCACCAGCACATAACCTACAGAAAAATATGATAGCCTCTGACTCATGGACACTGAGACACTCAACAAGTATGTTTTGGTTGTTATCTATGCCCTGATCTTCCTGTTGAGCCTGCTGGGAAACTCCCTGGTGATGCTGGTTGTCTTATACATCTAGGTCAGCAACTCTGTAACTGATATCTCCTTGCTGAACCTGGCCATGGCCAAGCTGCTCTTCGCCCTGACCTTGCCTATCCGGGCTGTCTCCAAGGCAAAGGGCTGGATCTTTGGCACAGCCTTGTGTAAGGTGGTCTCACTCTTGAAGGAAGTCAACTTCTACAGTGGAATTCTACTACTGGCCTACATCAGTGTGGACCACTACCTGGCCATTGTTCATGCCACACGTACATTGACTCAGAAGCAGCATTGGGTCAAGTTCATATGCATAAGCATCTGGGCCCTATCCCTGATCCTGTCTCTGGCCATCTTTGTCTTCCACAGAGCCATCCACCCGCCTAATTCCAGCCCAGTCTGTTAGGAGGGCCTAGGTGCCAATACAACAAAATGGCGCATGGTGATGCGATTCCTGCCCCAGACTGTTGGCTTCCTTCTGCCACTGCTGGTCATGCTGTTCTGCTATGGGCTCACACTGCGCACGCTATTTCAGGCCCACATGGGGCAGAAGCACCGGGCCATGCGGGTCATCTTTGCTGTCGTGCTCGTCTTCCTGTTCTGCTGGCTGCCCTACAATCTGGTGCTGATATCAGACAGCCTCATGAGGATCGGGGCGATCAAGGAGACCTGTGACCGCCGAAAAGACATTGACCGGGCCCTGGATGCCACTGAGATTCTGGGCTTCTTCCACAGCTGCCTCAATCCCCTCATCTATGCCTTCATTGGCCAGAAGTTTCGCCATGGTCTTCTCAAGATCATGGCCATCCATGGCCTGATCAGCAAGGAGTTCTTGGCCAAGGACGGCAGGCCTTCCTTTGTTGGCTCTTCTTCAGGGCACACTTCTACTACCCTCTAAGACCCCTGCCCCTTTTCAGCCCCACAGGGCTCCTCCCCTCCCATCAGCACCCAAACTACATGTCCACTGGCTATTCACAGCCTCTGTGTCAAGACGGGTCCTCATTGTGGTCGCAGGAAGTTGCTGAAGCCACGAGCTTATCAGGGCCCATTGTATGGTTCAGAAAGCTTGCCCTGGCGCCCCACCCCTTACTATAATTACTATGTCAGCTGCTAGGACTCTGTCCATCCTACCACTCAGCCCATAGCCCTCTGTCCTCTGAGATGTTCCTTGCTTGCTAGCAAAGTCTGCTTCCCTTGAGGTAGGCTGGAAATGACAGAGACTCACTTCTATGACGCCCTTGAGCTAGGAATGGCCATATCATCCAGTTCTGCTAGGATGACTTTTAGGCAAGAGTGTGCTGATTAACCAGTCTCCTGGAGGGAAAATCCTGATTTGTAGCATTCGCCAAGTTCCATGTTATAAATCTTCTACCGTAGTAATTTTAAGGGTGGTGATATTTAGCAATCGGTTCACAAAATTCTAGAAAACGTAATGATCTGTTTTCATAAGCAGGTACAAACTGACTTCAGTACATCATTGCTTTAGAGGAGTCTGCTGGGGCTGGAGACTCCTGGGAAATATTTCTGATTTAAAAGGAGAGACAGTCCTGGCCGGTTTGGTTCAGTGGTTAGAGTCTTGGCCTGTGGACCAGAATGTCTCTGATTTGGCTCCTGGTCTAGGGAGTATACCTGGGTTGCAGGTTCTATCCCCAGCGCTGGTTGTGCGGGAGGCAGTCAGTTGATGTGTCTCTCTCACATAGATGTTTCTCTCTCCTTCTCTCTCTCTTTCCCTACTCTCTCTTTCCCACTCTTCCTTCCACTCTCTCTAAAAAAAAAAAAAAATAATAATAATAATAAAAAAATCCTCAGGTAAGGATTAACAAAAATATAAATAAATAAAAAATAAAAAAGGGACACACTATCTTGGGTCTTGCCTTTAAATATGGTTATAGGATATGATGTGTGGTGCTGAGGCAGGATTTTTGTGACAATGCGGTAAAAAGCCTAACACATCTAGGCTGATGAAGCCAAAGGATAAAATGAACCTGAGAATAAATAGCTCGGAAATAAACCTAAGCATAAATGATCAAATGATTTTCAACAATGATGCCAAGATTATTTAATGGGGAAAGGATAGTCTTTCAACAAAGGGTGCTGAGAAAACTAGAAATCCACATGCACAACAATGAAATCAGTCTTTTACCTTACACCTTACACCTTACACCTTACAATCAAAATGGATTGGAGACCTAAATGTGAGAGCTAAAATGGTTAAACTCTTAGAAGAAAACATTTGGGAAAAGCTTCATTAGGTTTGAAGTTGGGGGTGGAGTAAGGTTCAGGAATGGAATTTAGATCAAAGTTGGGATTGGGATCAGGGGTTGAGGTTCGAGTCAGAGATGTGGTGGAGGAGGAGCCAGCGATGGAGTGGCATGTGGGATAAGGTGGAGGGTCCGAATATAGGGAGAGATCCAGAAGTAGGGAAAGGCTGGTAATGATATGAGTGAGAGTTAGGGAGGCTCAAGATGGTATTGGGACCGATTACGGAAGGAGGCTTAGGAGTGGGATGAATGTGGGGGTGTGATGAGTCTCCGGGGGTGTGTGTGTGTGTGCGCGCCAGAAATAGAGTGGCTGGGATGGGTTAGTGGCTACAATAGTAGCCACTGCTATTTAGTCCAGTTAGTGGCTGGAACAAAAAGCCATCACTGGTAGGATCACCATCCTCTCTGGAGCATTGTCTAAGATGCTGTTCCGGGGGCCAGGATGGAGGTGCCTCTGCCTGTCTAGCTTGAGACTGTCCAAATAGGTTGATAAGGAAGGATTTAGGGGCTCAAGCCCTAAGAGCTGGATTTGATTAAAGAGAGAAGACAGAAGAATGCAGAAAGGATCCAGGGAAGAAGCCTGGGAACCTCCCTTTTCTCTCCTGTCCCTGAATCATCTTCCCACCTCGCCTCCTGTCTCCCCCAATGCTCATCTTCCTCCATCCCAAAGACAGCTTCCTCAAGGGCTTCAGTAAGTTAATAAGGATCCAAGTTGGATCTGGGGAAATACAAATGACTAATACACACCTGAAGAGATGGTTGGCCTCGTTAGTGACCTGGGAAGTGGGAATCAAATAGCAGCATCTCGGAAGTGTTTTAACAGAAGAGGGATGGAGTCAGAACTGTTTTCAAACAAGTGCACCATTGTTCAGTTAGATTTGTTAATGCAATGTGTAATCTCTGGGTATATCTCAAGACATAAATGATTTGGATTATGGATCTGTAAAAATGCCAGGATGTTGGTACTGAAATAACATGATGTATTAAAATAGCAAAGGCTGGCATTTCAATCACTAGATAGGGTAAGGGTTAGAGAGCTAGTGAAGGTCAGGGAGAGGGTTCGCCTCAGGGAGGAGCTCAATGTCTAGGATGCTGCTGAGATCAGGGATGAGGTGCATCTTAAGAGAGGAGTGTGTGTGTGGGACAGAGATGGCAGAGAGTTAGGGACAGTGCATAAATGTAGATGTGAACAAAACTAAATTCCTCTTTGTGTCCCGGATTTCTTCCATCTTTAAGTTTACATGTTGTGACATTTTTTGTTGTTGTTGTTAATTCTCACCTGAGGATATTTTTCCATTGATTTTTTTAAAGATAGAATGGAAGGGAGGGAGAGGGGGAGAGAGAGAGACAGAGAGAGAGAGAGAGAGAGAGAGAGAGAGAGAGAGAGAAACATCTATGTGAGAGAGATACATCAATTGGTTGCCTCCTGCTCCTGACTGGGGCTGAGGATCACACCTGTAACCCAGGTATGTGGCCTTGACTGGGAGTCGAACCTGAAACCCTTCAGTCTGTGGCTGACACTCTAACCGCTGAGTCAAAACTGCCAGGGCTCACGTTGTGACCTTTAACCAACGTTACTGTCACTAGCAAGCATGATTATCTGTGTTCTTTAATCTTACACAATGTAGCCTTAAATATTTTTGTTAGTAAGAGTGGAAACGTCATGACAACCGAGATAAATATAAATATCGAAATGGTGATAGTATTTATGATAAACAGTCATCTATCACAAGACACCAGCAGGTGTAACTCCTGTCATGTACTGCTTTCTTTGTCCTTTTGTCTTGTCAATCACTAGTACCTGGGTTACACTGTAAAAAAGGATGCCAACAGGGGCTGTTAGTGGAGAATAATCTGTGCAGATTGCTGAGTCATCTGTCCGCTTTGACGCTACATCCCTGTAAGTAAATGACCCTATAATAAATAGTGTTTTACTCTATGAAGTTGCCTGCATTATTTTTCGCTCTTAAGATACCTTCTCGTTATAGTGGCCATTACACCTCTGCCCCACCATCAAACAGATAGGATTGGGGTTAAGCGCAGGGTGAACAGCAAGGATAGAGTTGTTGGGGACAGGGATTGGATGTAAATGTATGTTCTGCACAATGCTTAATGATTTTAAAAATTTAAAATTGGTTTTGTAGGCTTGTTTAAAATGTTTCAGCCTCCAAGTAATTATGTTGAAATATACTATTTTCCCATATACTAGCTTCTCTTCAGACTAACCACAGCCTCCTCACCATCCCTTGCCCCCCTATTCATGGCCCATCCTTACTAGTTACAGCAAAAATAATGACAATCTGGATTTTATTCCATGCAGGGGTGGGGAATCTTTTTTCCGCCAACGGCCATTTGGATATTTATAACATCATTCGAGGGTCACACAAAATTATTAACTTAAAAATTAGCCTGCTATATTTGGTCAGGCTGATTTGGCAAGGCCTGTGACGTTAGCTGGTATTGATTTCGCAGACATTATATGGCCTGAGGGCTGGAGTTTCCCCACCCTTGGAGTTTAAGATTGCCTCTTTCCCAGCAATTTGCATTTTAATTAGGGTCTTCCAGAAGCTGAAAATCCCACAGATGCAGATGAGATAAAATGACTATCTCCTCTTTATCTTTTCAGAGATGTGGCATCCCAAAGATGGCCACTAACCAAGAAATCGTCATGGAATACAACCTTTTGCTGTCTCCACGCAGAGGTTGGAGGGGCCAAAGATCTCTTAGTCTGACCTAGAAAACTACAAGTAGCTAGCAGTTGAGCTCTCGCCACCAATGTTTTTATCCATCCTAGTATTCTCTTCTTCTTTTTTTGAAAAATATGTTTTTATTGATATTTTAGAGAGAGAGGAAGGGAGAAAGAGAGAGAAACATTGATGTGAGAGGGATACATTGATCGGCTGCCCCCTGCATGGCCCCTACTGGAGACTGAGCCTGCCACCCGGGCATGCGCCCTGACTGGGAATCAAACTGGGACCTCTCAGTCCATGGGATGATGCTCAATCCTCTGAGCCACACCGGCCGGGCAGTCCTGGTATTCTCTTCTTAAACTCAAGATCTTTCTTCCAACCTTGAAGGTAGAAACGAATTAAAGAATTAAAAAAGTAAAAAATAAACAGAATATGTTAACTTAGACTTTCTAAAATTAGTTTTTCTTTTTTATCAAAGTATTTCATGTGCATTGTATAGTTTTTATAAATATAGCTTACAATAAAAACCAGCAACATCTCTCCTGCCCCACTCCCTACTGGCAAAGGCAACCACTTTCAACTCACAGCTGTTTTATCTAATAGTGGTCTACATATTTCTAAATATTATACTTATACTACTAGCTTTTTACACCCCCCATCCCCAGTTTTAGATATCATCTATTGACTTTCTATTTTTGTCTTCTGAGAATTTAACCTTCTCTAAACTCTCTCCTGCTTTTACCCCTGTCCAGCAAATACCAATACTGCCCCACACCCCCCACCCCTGCTCCATTCTCCCAGGACACAGACACCACACTTTTTGGTTAAGTTAACATTCAATTATTTTGTTTCTAATGATTATGTAAAAAATTATTCACAGCTGTGTACAATGTTTACATTTTCTTCTTTTTTTTTGTACAAGTTTTGTTTAACAATAGAATTTCCCC